GAAGCTGCTTTTTAATCTGCATAAAAAATATTCTTATCAATGTAAAGCTCTCATTCATTTTCTCTTCTTCCCTTGACCTTCTCTAGCCAGAAAACCCTGCTGCTAGATAATTCTCATGCCTATTTTGGCCATGTAGGAAAAGAGCAATTTCAATGCAGAAGGTAGACGAATATTTAAGGAAGGCATCATCTTGACTGGCTTTACTTCACAAAATTATAGACTTTCAGAGTTGGAAGAGACCTCCAAGGCCATCCAAACCAACTCATACTTGAGAAAAAAGTCCTTCTACTATGATACCTAACAAGTGGCTATAGTGCCATTGCTTAAAGACCGCCCCCTGCTTCCTTCTTCCCTCCTGTCCTTCCCTCTTCTCTCCCCTCTACCCCCCTCCATCTCCCTTATACTCACTGAGAGACAAAACCACCATTCTCAGGCTATCCTTCTCACTTTGGGACAACGCTAATCAAGGAGCTTCTCTTTCTAAAAATCTGTCTCTGTATGACCCACACCTGTTTTTCCTAGTTCTGCCCTCTGCCATCAAACAGAACAATTTTAATAGCTTTTCTCATGTTTCCCCTTCAGATGCTGGAAGACAATTATTGGTCTCTACTGAGTCTTCTCCAAGATAAACTTTCACAAAGCAAGGTTCTTCACTTTGCCTTAGGGCTGATGACTTTGTGGGTTTTGTGTGAAATTTGGGAACAAAAAGATTGTGAGTTTGAAAAAGATGTATGAAACAGATGCTGGGTTTATAAGAGGTCCATAGGAAAATAATTTTATTTTTTCAATCAATAAGCATTTATTTTCTCTCTTTCCTACTTCTCCCTACTCCCACTTGAAAACAAAACAAAACCAAACCCTTATTTAAAAAAATAGCTTTCTGTCGATGTCTTTTATTTTTGTATTATCTTGGTTTTTCCTTTCTTGCTCTCAGAGTGCCATCCATATAACAGATAGTATTTTTTTAAGAGACAAAGGAAAAAAGAAGAGGAAAACATCAGCGCAACTGATCGATATAACGGATAAGTCTGAAAACATGTGTGCTGTGCAACACTTTACCCTCTTCCACAAAGAAGTGAAAGGGAGTGTCTTCTCATATCTCTTCTTTTAAGTCACACTTAACTTTTTTTTTAACTTTTAGGCAATTGGGGTTAAGTGACTTGCCCAGGGTCACACAGCTAGTAAGCATCCAGTGTTTAGTCTGAGGCCAAATTTGAACTCAGGTCCTCCTGACTTCAGGGCTGGTGCTGTATCTACTGTGCCACCTAGCTGCCCCCATATTTAACTTTTGTTATTTTACAACAATTGCTTTTGATCTTTTAGTGTGTGGTTGTTTTTTCCCCCACTTATATTGTAGTTGCTGTGTATATTGTTTTCTTGACTCTGCTTACTTCACTCTGTATCTGTTCATGTTGATCTTTCCATGCTTCTCCGTATTTATCACCTACATAATTTCTTGCAGCAACAACAATAGTTTATTATATTCATGTGCCACAATTTGTTTAACCATTTTCCCAATTGATGGGCATCTACTTTAAAACTCTTGGAACAAGTATACACACACATATATGTATGTGTATATATATATATATATATACACACACACACACACACACACACATACACATACACAGATACATACATACACATATATACATATATACATACACATACACACTTATATATACTCTTGCAACAAATATATAAGCAGGGACAGCTATGTGGCGCAGTCAAGAGGACCTGAGTTCAAGTCCGGCCTCAGACACATCACACTCACTAGCTGTGTGACTCTGGACAAGTCACTCAACCCCAACTGCCTCACCAAAAAAGAAAAGAAAACAAGTATATAAGCAAATTCTCCACATTGGTCATGGCTAAAAATATGCCTTATCCTTTATCTTGAGTCCATCACCTTTGTTAGGATGTGGGTACACAGACGGACTATTTTGTGGCTGCATATTATTTTCCAGAGTGTAGTTCCACTAAGGTCAGCATGATATAGTGTAAAGACAACTGGAGTCAGAGGATCCAGGTGCAAATACTGCCTTTGACTCTTATTATATGTGCGACTTTGGGCAAATCACTTCCCTTACTTTTCATTTCCTCATCTGCCAAATGAGGGGGCTGAACTAGATGGTCATTTGAATTAGATAGTCTTTTCTGGCTCTAGAGCTATGAGCTTACCTCTGTGACTTTGAACAAATAGCCTCAGTTTCCTGATTTGTAAAATGAAGGCATTGGACTAGATCTAACTTTACGATTCTTCTTTTTGATGCCTCACATTGGTGTTGGGTGGAGGGAGGCTTTTCTTTTCTTTCATTCTTTTTTTATTTTTGGTGGTAATCAGGGTTAAATGGCTTGCCCCGGGTCATATAGCTAATAAGTGTCTGAGGATGGATTTGAACTTAGATCCTGGGCTGTGGCTTTTCAAAGGTTATGCCGGTGGACCATAAACAAAGGGTGTTCTGCCAAGCTGAAAAAGTTTTGAGCATTGGTGATCGCTTCTCTGTCTGTCATCCAAGGGCCTGCCTAGGTAATTTCAGAGACTCTTCTCCAGGTTGATCCATAGAGCGATGAATTTTTTTTTTAGCTACACCAACTCTTGAAGCCCATCTCCTACAGCTAATGTAAACTCTCTTTTAGCATTCCAAGTTCCTCACAACCGGGCCCCGACCTACCTTGACAGTCTCAGTACATGTTACTCTGTACAGTGGAGCCAGCCTGGCTTTCTTTCTGCTCCCCTGTAGAAGATAATCTGTACTCTCTGGACCTTTGTAGAGGCTCTTTCCCATGCCTGCAATGCCCTCCTTCCCTCCCTGTCTTTACCTCCACATCTTGGAACCCTTAGTTTCTGATAAGACTTGGCTCAAGTACTATTTTCTGCATGAGAATCACCCTGTTCCCTCCCTACAGCCTGCTCCCTCATTACATTGTCTATTTTGTATGTAACTTACAGATGTGTATGTGTATGTGTACATAGAGATGCATATAAGTATATATATATATATATATATATATATATATATATATACACATATATACACACACAGAGAGATGTGTATATATACACATAGATGTAGAAACATACAAATGTGTGCATGCATCTATATGTATAAAACAGTCCCTGCTTCCAAGAAGCTTACATTGTATTGGAGAAGACGACATATATATGTATACACACACATATATAGACATACATATATACACAGACAGATATGCAAGTTATATATACACAATGCACATATAATACATATATGCACATGCTCATGCATTATGTAGACATGCAAGTATATTTATAATACATACCACACATATATCTGCATGTGTGCACAGTGTATATGTTTACACACATGTATGTATAAATGCAAACATACATGTTGTCTTCCCCAAGTGAATAGAAGCTTTTCTAGGGTAATTACTGCTTTGCTTTTGCCTCTGTATCTCCAGTGCCCGGAACATAGAAGGTGACGTATAAATACTTATTGATTGATTGATAGGTCACTTAGTCTGTGGTGGTGCAGGGAGTGCCCACATGAATGAAATTATTGTACAGTCATTTTCAGTTGTGTCTGACTGTTTGTAACTCCATTTGGGGTTTATTGGCAAAGGTACAGGCGTGGTTTTCCGTTTCTTTCTCTAGCTCATTTCACAGATGAGGAAACTGAAACACAGGTTTTAGTGACTTGCCTGGGGCCATACAGCTAGTAAGTGGCTTAAGGCAGATTTGAACTCATATCTTCCTGACTCCAGGCCCCCACCTAGCTGCCCCATGAATGAAACTAGAGGTGCTTATAGTGTTGAAGAAAGGTGGGGTCCTGGGAAGAGGATTCCTAGAGTCAGAAAACATGGTTTTGAAACCAATCTGTGAAATTTACTAGCTCTATTACCCTGGTTCAAGGCATTTTGTACATCAGAGTGTTTCTTCTCAGGCTCTTTGTTTAGAGTTACTCATTATCCTTTAGTTCATGGCATTGTGTCCTCACTCACTGGTAACTCCCTCTGGTAGATCAAAACAGTTGACATACACTCAGACCTCAAGTTCATAGTTAAATAAGCAGTTTGATTAGATGAATAACAACTTCATGAACAATTCAACGAGCATTTGATGCATATATTATAAAACACAATCCAATTACTTCCTCAACCCCAAACCCCAAGCCAAAACTTCCCTTTCTGGTTCTAGTTCATTTTCTCTCTTGTCAGTTTCTCTCAGGTGCACAAGCTTTAACCTGTAAGTTTCTAATCTTGCCATAAACTTCCTGTCTTTCATTTGAGTGGAACACAGCCAGTTTAACTCAGCATCTGGATGCTTAGGTACTGGTAAGTGCTGGAGGAGCTTTTAGTGATTCTCTTGGTCACAGCTGTATGGATGAACAGGACAGTAGGACTGCGAGCTCCAGGGTCATGGAAAGTCCTCTGAGTTTCCATCTGGTCTGGGCACATATCTATTCTTGCAACTGCAACAGTGAAAAGGAGAGTAGCTTACAAAACCCAAAGGCTATCTAACACCCTATGGCACTCACAAATCTACTACTGAAATGTGCTAGGTGACATCTTAGGTATTAAATTATTTAATTTTTTTTTCTCTGATCTTCCAGCCTCTGTGTGTTGTTCCTATGTTTTGCAAGTCAAGTGCCATGTTGGCACTGAAGACAGTTGGAAAATGTCCCGGTAATGGCTGTTCTGCGGGAAGACTGTTCCTAAGGTTCTAGGGACAGATATGGTCCCCACCTCATTGGTCACTACATTTTGTTGAGTGCTAAAGCTTTGAGTTAATGTTCTGAAGTCCTTTGCTTGTATGTTATAATTTATGTTTTCCCACATTTTTATAATTTTCCTCCAGATTAATTAAATGCTTTGTTTTGTTTATTTAGAAAATTCCTATAATTTTCACGGTAGTGCTTATAAGACACTGAGACATTCAAATGGGTCTATAATCCATTTAAAATCTAGGTATTCCCTCATGTTGATTGCAATCCCTCCTCTGTTGTCTCTCCTAGATCCTCCAAAATGGATAAATGAATGAATTAATCAACAAGTGACTGGAGTGTAGATATCATGGCAGGAAGATAGCTGGGAAATGGCATTGTTGGCCAAGCTCACCAATCAGAACCCAGGATCCCAAAGGTAGGCCTTCAGTTCTGCTGGGAAGTGGAGGCTGGAGTCCAAGCAGCATGGCATGGATATTGCCCCATTCACTTAACATGCTAGAGTCCTTCCTCTGGTTCTTGTAATATATTAAAAGCATTAGAGTAAAGTCTTCCTAGCTGTGTGACTTTAGGGAACACACCCCCTGAATCTCAGTTTCATCACCTGTAAAATGAAGATAATAATTCTTATATTTTCTATCTCACGAGGCTATTGTAAAGAAAGCAGTTTGTGAAATGCATTGTATTTTATCTATAAAGACAAGCTATTGTTAATGTTAACATCATAGCATTCTGGCTGTCCAATTATTATCTCTCATTTTCCCTAAATGACTAATCCACTAAACTTTTCCTGTTATATAAGTCCTTGATGATATGTTTTCTGCCTATGCCACTTCTTTTGAACAAATCACTGTGAGTAATATTCATGTTGCTTTCTTATACCCACTGTAAAGTATAGCTCAGAATATAGAGATCAGAACTATTTTTCATTATAACCACTAGATGGCACTGATAATCCAGGCAGGCCAGGCTATTAATCACCTCCTGAGTTTGGGACCTTGTTTTCACTTGTTCAAGGAATTTCCTCCTTCCTCCTTTCCAGGAGTGCTTCACAGGCAGCTCACTCCTTTCTGGAGCATGGCTTTCTTTCAAATTTAGCAGTGTGCCTTCTGGACACTCCCCTTCCCCCTACCCATGACTACTCACTCACCCTTGTTACCAGCTCACAATTATAGGAGTACTTTCTTGGAGTTTTTTCTCTAACTCCCTCAAATCTTTATTAAATGTGTAGCTTAAATGCTCAGCAGATTTTCACTGGCAACAAAAACAACAAAAATCCACATCGATGCTTTACATGGTGGATAGAGTGTTGGACTTGGACCAATCATTTATTAATTGCCTATTATGTGCCAGGCACTGTGCAGAATTCTGGGGATACAAATAAAAAGAAAGATAGTTTTTACCTTCAAGGAGTTTATTATCTGATGTAACTTGGAGTCAGGAAAATCTGAGTTCAGATTCTGCCTCAGACACTTACGAGCTGTGTGACCTTGGACAAGTTGTCTTTAGAAGGACAGAGAGGGACTTTGCTCCCATGATCCCTTCCACCTCTAAATCTTTGATCCTAGTAGGTTCCCCCTGCTTTACAATCTCCACACTTACTTTGAAGTAGAAGTGGCGCAGATTCTAAAGCTTTCTGGTTTCAATATGGTTTCAAATACATAATAGGATCTGTCCCCACCAATACATCTTAAAGGGATAATGGGTCTAATGTCTTTCTTTGCCTGTGGCCAGGAGATTTTGCTCCCTGATCTTGTTCCCTTTTGTTAGTCTGGTGAAACCTATGGATTCCCTGGAATGTTGTTTTTAAATGCATAAACTCTAATACATAGGATTCCAAAGAAAACCAATTAGATTGAAATGCAATTATCAAGGAGGGAATTGTGGGAAGAAGGCAATGTGAGGTGCAGATACTGCAGGGCAGATAATGCTCAATCAATAAACAGCAAGCCTAGGAGGCAGCTGTGTGGGGCAGCCTCAGCTTTGGGAGCTTTTGCCCCATGGATGGTGTGTGTGGGGGTCAGCTGGCTGATCTGGGAAAGATTGAGGGTGGCCTTTGCTGGTGCTGGACATGGGACTCAGGCACACTGACCAGGTGACCTGGGATCCTAGGGTATGGCTGTGGGTGAGGAAGAGTGAGTACACACTGGTGAGTGCAGTCTTGGAGAAGGGGGGTTGAGGGCCCTGCTGGCTGTGGTTATCTGAAGGAGAACAGAATCCCTGATTTCAGTTCAGGGCAGAGCGGTGAGCTGATGCTTGTGGTGGCAGGGACCACTGGGAGCAAGAGTGTTTTCAATGGCAGTGGTACTTGGGGCCCTGGTCATGGCTCAGGAGCAAAGAGGAGTAACCGAGAGCATCCATAGACCAGGGTGTGAGCTGCAGGAGCAGTGACCACATCTGGCCTTGAATTATAGAGCACTGAAAGATCTAAGAGGTCAAAGGTCCCCCAGATAGAGCTCAGAAAACAACAGCACCAACAACCTGAAGCCTGAGACGTTATCCCCCACACTCCAGGAGCAGAACCCAACCCTAATATAAAGTTAGCAGCCAAGAACTACCTCATTTTAAAAAATAAGCAAATAGAGAAAACCTGACCATAGATAGATACTATAGTGTTAGAGGAGATCAGGGTTCAAACTCAGAAGAATACAATGAAGTGAAATGAAGTATTTGTAAAGCTTCAAAAAAAATGTAAAATCATCATAAACCCAAAAAGAGTTCTAGAAGATCTTAAAAAAGTTTGAAAATCAAATAAGAGAGGTTGAGGAAAAATTGGGAAAAGAAATAAAAGTAATGCCAGAAAAGCAAGAAAATTATGAAAAGAAAGTCAACCAATTGAAAAAAGAAAAAAAACTTACTGAAAATTTACTAAAAATTAGAGTTGGGCAAGGGGAAGCTAATGACTTCATGAGATATCAAGAAATAATAAAACAAAATCAAAAGAATGAAAAAATAGGAAAGAATGTGAAATATCTCATTAGAAAAACAGCTGACCTGGAAGACAGATCAAGAAGAGGTAATATAAGGATTGTTGGATTACTTGAAAGTTATTATCAAAAAAAGAGTCTATACACTATACTTCAAGAAATTATTAAATAAAATTGCCCTTTAAGTTTTAGAACTAGTGTAAAATAGAAATTGAAAACAAATCTACCAGTCACTGCCTGAAAGAGATGCCAAAATAAAAATTCACAGGAATATTATAGCTAAATGTTAAAGCTTCCAGGTCAAGGAGAAAATATCACAAACAACTACAAAGAAATCATTTAAATATTGTGGAGCTATAGTCAGGATAACACAAGATTTTGTAGCTTCTACATTAAAAGACTGAAGGAAATGAAATACGATATTCCAAAGAGCAAAGGAGCTAGATTTGCAGCCAAGAATAACCTACCCAGCAAAGCTGAGTGTAACCCTGCAAGGGAAAAAAATGGATATTGAACGAATGAAAGACTTTCAAGTATTCTTGAAGAAAAGACCAGAGCTCAACAGAAACTTTGACTTATAAGAATGAGGAGAAACATAAGAAGATAAATATTAAAAAGGGATTTAATAAGGTTAAACCGTTTACTTCTTGTATGGGAAATGATATTTGTAACTCTTATGAATGTTATCATTACTAGTATAGTTTGAAGGTGTATATATATATATATATATATGTATATATGGATAGATATGAAGAAAGAAAGAAGGCTTAAGGTTGAGTTGATTATGATGGGATGATTCTAAAAATAAAATTGGGTTGGGAGAGATAAAATGGAGCAAATTATCTCATAAAAAAGAGGCATAAAAGCAAGAATTGTTATGTAGGAGGGGAGGAGGAATGGAGGATGAGTAGTGTGAGAACCTCATTATCATTTGAACTAGGTTAAGGAGGGAATAATATATACGTTTAGTAGGACATAAACAATCTTCTTAACTTACAGAGAAATAGGAGGGCAAGGGGATAGAATAAGGGAGGGAATCTTAGAAGGGTATGCAAATTAGGATGGCAGTGGTCAGAAGTAAATTAGGCTTTTGAGGAGGGATAGGATAAAAAAAGAGAGAAAAAGAGAAAAATAAATAGTGAGGAAAAATAGGATGGAGGTAAATATGTAACGATTAATTATAGCTTTGAATCTGAATGGGATGAGGTGCATAGTACAAAAAAAGGAAAGTAGAATGGAACAAAACCCAGAACCTGATAATATGTTGTTTATAAGAAACATTTAAAAGTGAGAGACACACATAGGGTAAAAATAAAGGGCTGGAGTAGAATTTGATGTGTTTTATCTGATGTAAAAAAATGCAGGGGTAGCAATCATGATCTCAGACAAAGTTAAAGCTAAAATAGATTTAATTAAAAGAAATAAATAGGGAAAGCACATTATGTTAAAAGGTACCATAGATAATGAAGTGATATCAATACTAAGCCTATATGTACCAAATGTTATAGCATCTAAATTTTTAAAGGAAAAGGTGAATGAATTACAGGTGGACCAAGCAAAACCAATAGTGGGGGACTTCAACCCTCCCCTCTCAGAACTAGATAAATCTAACTAAAAAATAAATAAGGAAGAAGTCAAAGAGATGAGTACAATCTTAGATAAGTTAGATATGATAAACATCTGGAAAGAATTGAATAGAAATGGAAAGTTATATTATCATTTTCTCAGCAGTACATGGTACCTTTACAAAAATTGACCACATATTAAGGAATAAAAACTTTATAGTTAAGTGCAGAAAAGCAAAAATATTAAATATATCCTTTTCAGATCATAATGTAATAAAAATTACATTTAATAAAGGGCCATGGAAACAGATTAAAAATTAGTTGGAGACTAACCTAATCTTAAAGAATGAATAGGTTAAAGAACAACTTATGGAAACAATAAATAATTTTATTGAAGAGAATGATAATAATGAGACAACATACCAAAACTTAGGGGATGCAGCAAAATCAGTAATCAGAGGAAAATTTATATCTCTAAATGCATACATCAACAAAATAGAGGAAGAGGGATAGCTAGGTGGCACAGTGGATAGAGCACAGGCCCTGGAGTCAGGAGGACCTGAGTTCAAATCTGGCCTCAGACACTTGACACTTACTGTCTGGGCAAGTCACTTAACCCTGTTTGCCTCACCAAAAAAAAAAAAAATAAGCAAAACAGAGAAAGAGCAGACCAATGAATTGAGTATGCAATTAAAAAAATTAGAAAAAGAACAAATTGAAAATCCCCAATTAAACATCAAATTCGAAATCCTAAAAATTAAAATTGAGATTAATAAAATGGAATGTAAGAAAACTATTGAATTAATAAATAAAACTAGGAGTTAGTTTTATGAAAAATTCAGTGGATACCCATGTGTGGAATTTATGCCAGGAATGCAGGGATTATCATTCACTATAAGGAAAACTATTAACATAATTGATTAAGA